GAGCCAATGACCGACTCAACTCTTAACATTCCTGCCGCTAACATCAAAGCATCCGAGCACCGGCAGAAACAGTCGAGCGTCGTCGTCGTAGCACATAAGCGTCAACGCTCGCAACAGGGCATCGTCATCGAAGCCTATATGAGCGCCGGCAGAAACAGTTTAGCATCGTCATCGTAGCACACGAGCGTCAACGCACGCAGTAGTCGTCGCGCATTTCAACCGCAATATATGTCACCACTTATCACCTCAGAGCACAGCAGAGCAGGAAACGTTATTGCTCTAACGGGCCACATTAAACCGTTACCCTGCCACAGCACGGCACCACCAGCAAGATTTTCGACGCCGTAGAGAGCAACACACAACTCGGACAAACACTGCCTTTAGTATTACAAGTCATGCTCGTTGCGATTAATGACGTCATACCCGGATTACATACACTGTGGAGCATGGGAGCTAAGGAATCCTGCCGAGGTCACCAGGTAGTGTTAAAAGCGTCAGATGCTCAGCTTAACGTAAACTAAGTAAACATGAGAGGAGTGAAGACCATGGCGAAAGTCACTGAAGTGGCTGGATTCCTGTCGGACGGATAGTACGATGGGCTTTAGAATTACAGCAGGGTACTTTCGTAATTTGTATCATAAAGGGAAACTCAACCAAGTAGCAGACGCACCATTCCGACGGCCATTACAGACCATAAGGAAAACGGCCACGATGGTGCCAGAAAATGGTGGCGAAAACAAGTAGAAGAAGTTGCGCAAACCCAGAGAAGTACGCGGACTATTAGAAAAGAATGACCAACTCTTTCGTCCCAATCCGTGTCGATGACGCCATGAACAGGCTGTACCCCGAAGGGTATGAGCGCCTGACACATGGGCATACGCCGGACAGCAGCAGTAGTGGCCAACCAATCATACTGTCCAGCGATTAGCCTGTACGTACGCCAGTGTGAGTCTTGCCAAATATATAAGGAAGAACAGCAAAGACCAGTGGAGAAGATGCCTTCACAGATGGCGCAAAAGCCGATTGCCGCGGTCTGCACGCGACCAACCCATGGCAATACAATGACATCGTCATCGAAGCCTACACGAGCACGGCAGAAACAGTTGAGCGTCGTAGTACACAAGCGACCACACACGCAGCAGTCGTCGCCCATTTCAGCCGCAATTAATGATATCGTTCTAGTGAAGATCAGAATGTCACTTAATACCCCAGAGCGCATTAGAGGGGGAAACGTTATTACACCAACGGGATACTTTAAATTGTTACCCTGGCACTGCACTATCCTTGGCACGTCACCGCGCGAGACACTATTTAAGCAGTAATTGTAAATATAAATAAATTCCGATTCGTTGAGAGCGCCATTATTTACTAATTTATGGTAACGAACCCTGGACACGGAAAGTATAACTTAGCAAACTGCAAAAAACAGGAGCTTTACAAGATTTGGGTTGCACATTTGGAGGACTCTTTAATATTCTCTACAAGCTCTAAAGAACATTCGACTATGGGTAAGAAATAAAAAATACTTTGTTCATAATAGTAAAATTCCTTATTTATTCTTCAAATCTATGTCGTCCTCCTTAAAGTAATCCCTCTTGACCACAATACACTTGTTTCCCGTAGCGGTCGTTTGATGAATAGCCAGAATTCACACCGATTACGGTTGTTGTGGCACGATATTGGTGGAAATTTGGGTAAAAACTCGCGAAAAATCAGTGGAGAATGCGACGGTTCGTTATCGTGGTGCAAGAACCAAGAGTTTTCTGTCCATGATCCCGGCTTCTTTTTAGGAATAACTCCACGAAAGCCACGCATAACTCTCCAATAGTATTCTTTGTTTACGGTTTGGCCACACCTCGTTAATCGAAGAAAACCTTGATTTTGATCTGCTTTGTCGTGATTTTTTTCGCCTTTGCTCAAATTTCCCTCTATATTCGGTCGATTCATTACATGTTTCCAGATCGAAACCATATGTCCAAGACTTCAAGAGCTTTATTATTCTGAAATATACTGGTCCTTGCTGAATTGAAGARGGGGCATTCATCCAGTAGATGTGTTATAGTTAAGGAGGACGAACTACAATATAGACAGGATGAATTAAGGTTTCCATTTAATAAATGGGAATGTGTTAATGACGTATGACCAAGACGAAGGCGAACAAAGGGTTTTATATCTTGGCAAGGGCCTGATGGCGGATAAGCAGGTCTTTTGCCCTCTTGGTTGCAGATGGCATGGTGGTGTTGCACATTCTTCCAAGCATTAGCTTTTACAGCTKTTTTTTGAAGCGATTAAGTGGATTATGTCGTTTTTTCGATGTAGTCGAAGAAAATCAATGGCTGTTTTGCCACCAATTTGGCGTTTTGATCGGCCCATTCATTTCCAGTAATACCGGAGTGTCCAGGGATCCACATAATTTTTATGTTTGTTTTCCCAATTAGTATGTTTCTAATTTGCGCAATGAGATAGGATTTGTTAGATCCTGTTTAAAAGTGTACTCGATATATTGGGGAGCACTCACCACTGCGTTAAATTAAATAAAAACATCCAGTTTATTTTTTTATAAATTTGGGCTTTTAACAATTTTATTTAAATAAATTTATTGATTTTATCATATAAACTCATTAAAAACGCGGCGATACCACAATTCCGGGTATGGTTTGTCACTGATTGCGATCTAGTGGACACGGCTCGTGGTTGAGTGTTGTAATTGGAGGAGATTAGCGTGAGGTGTCGACGCGGCGGAGTGTATATAAATTTGATGGTCGAATTGTATGGATCTGGCGGATTTGTAGGTCGACGTTGCGCAGTGTGTAAGCGAATGTTGATGGCTGAAATGCATGGGTTGAACGAATTGGTTAGAAACAATTGTGTCTCCTATCCTCTTGTCTATCCTTTTTGTTTAGTGGGCAGGGGTCATCATCCTCATCATCAGCTGTGGTGAATTGCGCTGTTGTATTAGGATGCGCCAGTTTTACAGGGTAGAGGGGGTGGATGCTAAACTCATTTAAACAGATGCATTTAAGAGAGCTGAGATTGTAGACTTGCTATGTTTTGCTTGCTTAATGTTTTTATGTTAGAGTTTTGTACTAGGGATAGCGCATGATAGATGGCTGCTGCTTCTGCGGTGTATACTGAGCTGTAAATGGGCAGGAGTCCAGCTTTCAACGTATTTCCAACGTTATCAGCAATAGAAAAAGACGTGTAGGAGTCTGCCTTCGAAGCGTCAGTAAAACTGAGTTGCAAATCGACGTAGTTTTGCACAATGAGCTCTTTGAACAAACTTTGATATACCCTGGAATTGGTGTTATTTTTATTATGTTTTTTGCAGATGTAGCTCGAACGAAGATTCTTTGAGTAGCCATGATGGGGCAAAAGAAATAGACTTTTCCTCAGGTGTAGTTGTTATACCAGATTCTTAGCTAATTTAATGMATTTAGAAACAGTGGAAGAAGTATTGGAGTTTGTATCGTCGGTCCATTTGGCTTTTACTATACCATACAAGAGTTTGTTATTACTAGGGCAACCCAAAAATTGCATTTGCAAGTTGTTTGTCGTGATCGCAATTCCAATGCCGGTTAATTAGAAATACCTTTTATAAATTTCTCTTTAATTTAAACTAAACTTGTTGTTGCAATTTTTTGCATTTTTAGCAATAAATGCAATATTTTTCAAAAATTACTTTTTAGTGTCAATTTTGCAAATAAATACAATTTTATGAAGCAATTTGAACAATAAATGCAATTTTATGCAAAAATGCAATTTCAAGTAGCCATTTTCATAACTTCGATTACATTTGAAAAATTATCGATACACAAATTATCATATGTCACATCTCTGTGAACAGATGTTTTGAAGCTTACCATATCTAACATAAAGTTATATAGCGTGGTCGGGCATGTCATTGTATAACCCTACAAGTAACAAAAGAATCATTTTCCAAGAATTTTTCTCAGCTGAGATCACCTGATCGAAATCTGCCTTTTTTAGTCGCAGAGATGTAATTAAAAAAAATGTAGTAGATTTAATTTTTTGTGAAAAAGTATTTGTTACGGAAAACATTAATGAAAACTTTCAAGAATATTTTTGAAACAAAAGATTATTGGATGTTTATTGCTCTTCCTCAGCACCTCTGAGGTTGCAAAGTAGGCGCRCTACCGATCTGTTTTGGGTGTTCGGCTAACCAGGAGGCCTATTTTCATTTTTATATATACAGTTTTAAATCAATCTACTTATTATAAAAAATATGACTAGACAAAAATAAATATATAAAGTCAGGTACAATTCATGAATATTAATTACATTAAAAATATAACTTTGACAATATATGTATGTCAAAACAATCAACTGGAAAATATTTAAACAAAAAGCAAAATAAATATTAAAAAAATTGGGTACAATTCCATTGTATGTATACATTAACAATACAAGTCGATTGCTTGTGTTAATTTTAACAAAAACAAAAATTAATATAAAAAATCAGGTACAATTCAGGAAAATCAACAATAATATTCAAAACAATCTACTAGGTAATAAATAATATTTACTAAATATTCTAAATCACCCACAGCGAAATACTTATTACAAACCCTATCAAAGGAATAGTGGTGGAAAGAAGGGTACACGAAAACACTTGAAAAACAAAAAAATATTGATAATAAGCGTACAAACCTAATHGCTAAAATTCTCATTTCAAAATCACAGATCAAGGTAGCTATGGAAAAAAATATTTTTTTATAAAATTGGAAACATTTAATAATATATTGATACAATAATTAATATTTTGGACAAAACTGACTAAATTTGATATTTAGGAATTTAAATAATCGAAAAATATTTGATAAAAATATTGTTAAAGTTATAAATTTTAAAACCTAACACGGCAACACACTATAGCAGATTTGAGGCATTTGAACGTTTTAGTAGTAGAATATTTTGGGGCAACCCGAACCAAGTGCCTAATTTGTAGTAGATTTTTGCGTATGTGTTAGTGAAAAATGAAGGATTGGTTACTTGTAGCTTTATACAATGGGGCATGTAGCTAATATTTAGTTGCAGAATCGAGTGAGGTAAATTTATTCAATTTCAATTAAACAAAGTGATTTATTTATTTTATTCTATAATTTAGATAACGCCGAATGCAAAACAGCGAAACACGGACAAATTAGCTTCTTATGTCGCGAAATATCCTATTTTTAAAACTGATGGCGTCGTATTGTTTTGCAAAGCTTGCGACAAGTCAGTGTCGTCAGAAAGATTATAATCTTTGCAACCGCATGTTGCAAGTTTGGCACATAGTGAAGCCAAAAAAAAAAAAATCATCAACAAGTACGCAGCCATTATTAACTCAAACCACAAGTTCCAATCAAAATCAGTTCGCGCAAAGCATTAGTTGCATCGGACATTCCACTTTACAAATGAAGGAATGAAAACCTAAAAAGTTTTTTTTGGAAAATATGTAGATTTAATTATTCCTTCTGAAACCTGAATTATAGTTTAGATAGAAGTTATTACATTTGTGTTTGTGTTTTCTACAGATATGGAATAATTTGCTTTTGTTTATAGAAATGTTCGCACTTGAAAAATTGCACCAATTTGAAATATCAGAAAAGATTTTTAAGAAGGTATTTTTAACAGTATTAAGATTATATTGCTTTTAGAAGATCAGCACATCATCAGCATAAATAATATGCGAAATGAGTTTATATTTAGAGATTATCGTAATGATTTCGTTAAATGCGATTACAAATAGTGTGACAGACAATGGTGATCCTTGTGGTATTCCGTTGTACATATTGTACGTGTTCGAAAAAGTGTTATTTATTTTAGTCATGAATTTCCGATTAATTAGGAAAGATTTAATAAAGTTAAATATTTTTTCACCAATTTGCCACTTCT